CTGAATAATAGTATGTTAAAACTGCATAAATTTTACTATATTTGTTTGGTTTAACTTATATTTTATCAGTTTATAATTTTTAAAAATGTCATTTTGATCAATTGACTTTAATATATTAAGTAATAAATATTAGTTATTTCTAACAACCAATCAAATAAATTCTATGGCTTAATATAAGAGTGTGTAGCTATGGTCACTAATTTTTTTTTTTTTTTTGAGGCCACCAAACTTTATTTAAAAAATACTAATTCTATTTAATTTGATTGTTAAAAGTATATAATAACAACTAGAACAGTTGATATATATTACTTAATAAATTAAGTATAAGTTATAAATTCATATTTTCAAATATCATAAGTATTTATTTAAAAAATATATATAAATCTTGATTGAATTTTAGTGACCTTAACAAAAATAATTAGTAGATATAATTGCACCTAATATAAGGATATGTGGCAATAATCATATGCCAATGTCTTTTCTTTAATGTTTGGTCTTGAAGAAGTTTTGTCCATTTAACTCTAAATAATGCTAAATTTGAAAAAAAAATTTACCAAAATTTAAAATTTAAGTAGCTAACACTTGAACTGTTCGAAAATTTTCTTATCAAGGGTACCCATCTTTATTTCATAATAATAAAAATTATCATTTTTTAAAAAAATTTTAATCAAGGATACCACTTTCTTAAGAAGTACTTGAATCTCAGGTTAAGCGGCACACAAATTTCTTATGTGGGATCCACCTAAATTGTTGAAGTGTCAAAAAAAAAAAAAGTGAAAAGTAGCTGTTGATTTGGCCAATTAATTTGTTGATTTAGACAACACAATAATAAAAAAGTAAGTGAATGCCAAAAAAAAAAAAAGGTTTTGGGACTTTCATGAAACTTTTTTGAAATATGAAGGATTATATTGTAATAAGAAATAAAGTAGAAATGTTAGAACACAAATGTGCTATTTTATGATTGAAGGAACTGCAAAAAAAGTAAAAAAATATCCGACACGAGTTGGGTGCCGATACCACCTTCTTCGGTGTGGACACTATCTGGTGGGACTTTGACAAGTTCTTGTTGAGTGAAATTGGGTACGGAAGTGTCGATACCACACCTCTAGTGTCGACCCTCTATATAAATTGGGGAAAGGCAGAAAGGCCCTTGTGGGTCTCACTGACAGTGTTTATCTGCTTTTTATTTATTTATTTTATTTTTTATTTTTTGTATTGTTGCATTGTCCAAGTTAACAAATTAACCATCCAACTCAGCAGTGACTTTCTTTTTTTTTTTTTTTTGGTTGCATCGACAGTTTAGGTGATTTTCAGGCGAATCCATTTGTCATCTGCACCTCCTGATACTTTGGATCTAGTGGTTTTAGTCGCCTTAAAAAGGAGCACTTCCCTTCTCATTGGGCAGGTTCAATCCAACTCCATGTCAAATTATTTTAAAAAAAATCCATCTGTCATCTCAGCTCTAATGCTTAATGAATATTTAAATCCTAAAATTGAAAAATTAATATGGTTGTTTATAAATTTTTTATGGATATTTTTAATACATACTCTTAAAGTATATATTAAGATAAAATTATTATTTTTTTATATAAGTAATATTTTAAAAATAAAAATTAATTTTTAACAACTAACTATTGAATTTACATGACATTAATAGTGAAATTAATGATAATTTTTATATATTTTAATATTAATTAATATTGAAAAAGTACAATAATTTCATCTTAAGACACAAATTAAAAAAAAAAACATTTTTGAAATAAGATAGCCTTGATTAGATCAAAAGAAAGATTCTATCCTTAATTAGAATAATTTTTAAAAGTGATGCCATTAAATTAAATGTGTAAAATCTTCTAGTAGTTTTGTCTATTTAATTTTAAATAATGTTAAATTTGATCAAATTTTTACGAAAAATTAAAATTTAACTAGCTAACATATTAATGATGTTGCAATAATAAAAGGGCAGTTTGTCATGATGTACAAGTTAAGGGGCTGATCTGCCAAAATAAAAAAGTAAAAAAACAATATGTTAGGGGGCTATATATGGCTTCCGCCTTTGAAAAACGGCTTAGTGGTCAGCATAAATGCAAATTTGTGTTCCCATTTCCACAGTGCAGCCTTTTTCTAAGTTGGAAAGCAGAATCTTTGAAAACAAAGCAAATTTGGTGCATCAATTCTGCGCCAAACGTTTGAAACAATCAATGCGAGCCTTCTATCCCAATCCGGCAAACACCTCTTCTCCAACATTATTGATTAGGTTGGAGTTGCAAGTAATTTTTAATCCTCTCATTATATACGTCTCGTTTCTTCGTTAAAAAATAGAAAGAACAGAGCACCTTTGCTCTGTTCTTCTCCCTTTAACATGCCCCATTCCTCCCAGAAATCCTGTTTTCTCAATTCCTTTTTGATCCTTATCTCTTTTCGATTCTTCAATTTCTTACCCCTTTTTACTTGTGTGGTTGTGCCTTCATAATAATAGTCACCTAAATTTGTTAATATTATCTTTAAAATATTGGTAAAAATAATTGATGAAATAATTAACATTTATTATTTAATAAATTAAAATTGTTAACAATCTAATTCAATAGTTATTTAAAAGGTTTTGAATTCGAATCACATGACATACGACTGAGATGAGATAAAAGATGAGAAAAACTTACCTCCCATTATGCAACTAACATAATAAAAAAAAAAAACCAATTAAAACTAACTTATAAACTAATATTTTTAAATATTATAATTACTTATTTAAAAAAAAATCTATGAATATATTACATATCAATCCAACACTAAAATTTGTATAGCCTCAATAATTTTTTTTTTTAGCCATGCCACACCCTTTTCCCATAAAGAAGAAAGAGCTGCTCCCTTTTATAGGCCTGCGGGCGCGCTACACAAAAACAGAGCACCAATTTCTCCCCTCTCCAAAACAGAAAGTCATTGATGTTACGTGCAAGCATGTTTGTAATCTATCCCTCTAGAAGTGTAGAAGATTAAATGACCTTTTTGAGATAGGATTATCGAGGAAAGATCATATGGGAGCCATGTGGTTGTACTTCTTCAGTGATGTTGATTCATGATCCACATTGTGATTTTATAATTGACACCATCTGCGAAGTTCTAGTTCCTTGCCTTCTTATCTAAGGAATTTAAAGTCAATTGAAACACTTAAAAATGATAGAAAATTTACGATGTTACGAAATGTCATATTAAATATGTAATTTATGTAACAAGTCAGTGATACTTTTATACTAGTCAAGAATATCTGCCATTGACAATTGAGCATATGACACTAACTATTTACTCTTGTATCAAAAGTTCATAAAATATACTGCAACCTCATATTATAGAATTGTGATATATTGTAGCATTTTTGAGCGTGGAAGGACCCCTTTTTTTCATTATCTCTCTCTTTAACTCATAATTGGAGATGCAATTGACTACTGCGGCTTTATGATCTGATGTGCAATGGAAGTGAGAGGAATGGTGGGCTTGACTGCCGCCCACCTTAGAATTGAAAGGTGTCAAATCCACAATTAGCTGTTGCTACCCGTGAAAGGTCGGTGCCAAAAAGCCTAAAACCCTAAAAGCCCCTTGCCATTTAGATTTTCTTAGCATCATCTTTAAGCAGTTCAAAATAGTTTTTATGAATCCTAACATGCCAAGAGATTTAAGTAATGCAGAGATGTTTTCCATCGGCATGGAAGTTAGTACTTAATTGTTACAAAGATTTGGTTTGTGACCTTTTAACTTGATAATTAAAATTCAAACCTCACACTTTTCTTTAATTATTACCTTCTTAAAAGTTGTCTAGATAATTTTAACTTCTAGTACTGAAAATGACATCCCTAGCAACTCAACTTCTATTACTGAAAATTATATCCCAAGCAAGTCAAGACTTATCAATTTATTATTAACAAAAAGGAAAAACTAGAATATTTTAATATTAAAAATATTAGGATGTTTAATAATAACTTTATAATAAATTTGATAAAATTAAGAGCTACATTTTACTATACATATTTAATAATTATTGTTGAATATCGTAATATTTTAAATATTAAGATATCATGATTTTCCCTTTCCCCCATTATTAATGGTTTATAACTTGCGCTTAAAGATTTACTTGAGTTTAAATCTCTTTTTACTATTTTGGCTTATAACTTATGAAAATGTAATTATAATATTTCGTAATATTATAAATTTATAATATGATATATTATTATATAATTAACTTTTTATTCAAAAATCTATATATAATTATTATATATATTCATTCATTTAATATCATATCATACTTATTTAATACTCCAACATAATTATAAATTTATAATTTTATTTAAGTAATATCATAACTAAGGGTGCGTTTAGGATTGTTGTGAAATATTGTAGTTATAATTGTGGTTGAAAGTTATTTTGGTGTTTGATTGTTTATTTTTTTAAAAGATTATAAATGAAATATGATAGATTTTATTAATTATTAATTAAAATTTTAAAAATATTGTAAGATATATAATTATTAAAATATATAATATTTATTATTTTTTAATAATTTAAGTTTTTTAAATTTTTTTAATTATTAAAGTATTATAAATTATGATATAATTAAATTATATGAAATTAAGTAATGTGTAATTTTATAATTATATTAAATATTAGGTGTTCTCCATAAAAACCACAGTAAAAAAGCTTCAAAATAAGGTTTTTGGCTTTAACTTTTTGTAACTTAAAAAAAATTAAATATGTTGTAACTTTTTGTAATTAAAAAAACCGTTTAAAAAAAAATACCAAATACAAATATACCTAAAAATGCTATGTGGTTACACAAAAAGACTTCCAACTGCAATTCCAAACGCACCCTAAAACATTACTCTATAAATTATCCCTTCACCATTTTTTCACAGGGAAAGAAATCCAAAATAAATGTCAAATTTCGTATAACTTTGAATTCACATAATTAAGTCTTTATATAATTGGCAATAAAGAAGCATGCTCCTTTCAAAAGCCCATATCTCTGTCTCTAACTTATCTCTTGCCTTTTCTTTTAACAGTTTCTTCTTCCTCCATTTTTGCTACTTCAAAACCTCCCAAATTCTTGGCAGAGGACTCTGCTTTAAACACAGCTTCCTTTCTACAACATTTTCCGTCTCTGTTGATCTTCTACCCAACATACCATTTTCTTGCAGCTTCAACCGACAAAGAGAACTGAAAAAGATTGAGTTAGGATTCTTGCTTTTAGTTAATAATGAATAGGCTCAGTTGTTCTGCTTCTCTGGATTCTTTGATCCCCATCTGTCCCACTAGAGGTACACAATTCAATCTTGACGTTCCTTTCCTTTTTCTCAACAACCAAATAGAAAATTCCTAGACAAGTTTGAATGAAACCCTTAATTTCTTCTACATATTTACAATTTTCTTTGATGTTTTCAGAAGAAAGGGTGGGAAAGGGGAAGCAATTCTACAGCAGGGAGTTCCAGGCAATGTTGGACAGTTTGGAAGAAGAAGATAATCTAGAAAAAGCTAGCCATGCAGGAGAGAAGAAACGAAGACTAACCCCTGATCAAGTTAAGGCTTTGGAGAAGAATTTCGAGCGTGAAAACAAGCTGGAGCCAGAGAGGAAGGTGAAATTGGCGGCTGAATTAGATCTGCAGCCTCGCCAGGTAGCTATCTGGTTCCAGAACCGCCGTGCACGGTGGAAGACTAAACTATTGGAGAGAGACTACAACCTCCTTAAAGCTAATTACGATGCTCTTCAGCATGATTTTAACAATCTTGAACAAGAAAAAGAAACCTTAACTACAAAGGTATTGCATTGATTTCTGTTGGTTTTCATCTAAACCAAACAGTGTCTTAGAATTAAACATCCTTTTGCATGTGGATTTTCATTTTCCTTTCTGTTTTCATGGAGGGGTTGGTGTTTGAATTGCAGTTAGAAGAGTTGAAGGCTAAGCTCAAGGAAGAGGAAGAAGTGTCTCTGAACATTTCACAGCAGAATCATCAGCTCATGGCTTCATCATCATCAACAACAGCAGTTTCTTCTTCTTTCTACTGCCATGGCAGTTCCTCATCTTCAGATTCATCAAGGCATTGGTTCAAGTCCCTTGACTCGAGAATGATTTTGGGTAACACGAACAATCCCCAGTTTATGAAAGGAGAAGAACAAGGTACTCTGTTTTCTACAGAGGATTCATGCAATATTTTCTCCATTGATCAAGCTCCAACCCTTCAGTCATACTTTGCTGCTGGAAATTGGAATTAATACCAGTCCCAAAAGTTTAAAGTCTTGCCACATGAATAAAATAGCTTGTAATTTGGCTGTCATGAGAGGAAAAAGGTGTAGTTCTTCATTAAATTATGTTTTAAAATCATAATAAAGTTATCTACTTACAAAGTTAGATCCATAATGTTGAATATTGTGCGGGATTTGTGCGCTTAAATATATAAATATATATATATATATATATATAATATGAACAACTTAACCTATTTTATTGTCAATTATTTATAAATTGAATTCTCATTTAGACCGCATGTTTTCTAAACAAAACCAATGATTAAAGAAAACAAACTTGGTGGTAAATCTTTTTTCCTCACGAGTTAATGGATGTGGATTTTAAGGAAGGAATTTTATGTTTTGTAATTTGAACTAAATTGTAAATAAAAGTTCTTAGGTGGAGATAGCCCCTGATAGGCTAAATTCTCTATTTGTATTTTACACATTAATTTTTATTTTTTTTGTGGTCAACATTCTTAAAAATTTTTATCTTGATCAACACTTTTCATAAATTAAAACTCATAAAATATCTAAAAATTAGTAATCAAATTCCTTATTGATGTCTAATAATTTGGAGTTTTTTTTATAAATTTCAAATTATAAAGAGTGTTGACTAAAAGTGAAAATTATAGAGGATGTTAACCACAAACAAAAAAAATAATATATGAAGTACATATAGAAGGTTTGATCACCCAATAATAAGGATTTGTCTTTCATTTAAATCTAATAATTTGTGTAGTTTGGACTATTTAACACTATTCTACTACGCAAAGGTAGTTGATAGAAAAAAAAAAAAAAAGAGGGGGTATAGTCTCTTAAGAGATAACCTAGAAATTTAAACTTTAAACTTTCAAATTGAAAGTTTTATTCTTGAGACCAACAAGATGTTTTCAAAATGAATGGACTATCATGTTGTATGGTTAGATATATTTGAATTTGTTGTATTAAATTCAGTTTATATGATCTACAAAACTAATGTGTCATCAGGTTCAATTTATCACTGCCAAAATTCAAAATCTTAGGAGACAGAGAAGGGAATTGCTAAGGTTCCAATTATCTCTCTCTTCAATGCATATTTTTCCCGTTTGTGATTAATGTCTATCAAACCATGTGTTCGGTAAAAAGTAGATTCTGACCCATAGCTAACAAGAAAATGAATGGCCACAGACAGTCCACAAAATAGCAAGAATGTTATAAGAAGGCACCACTCCCTTACAAAAGGGGCCTCAAGACTATTGTAAGCATCCAACTAGGACTCCACCGCCCCAATTCCAACTTGAAGAACAAATTAGCAATAGCTTTTAATCATAACTAAAATTAATCTAAACAACCAAAAAACATTGAAATTAAGTAGATTAATGACAATTTTTTAACAAAATAAGCCTTAAATGAAATAAATTAAAAGATGAAAAAAATATTATTTTTTATTATATAACTTAAAATTAAAAAAAAAATGGTAATAATTAAATTTTGAATGGAACAAATGATTAATGTGGATAATTGGTAGGCGTACCGCTTAGCGGTTAGCGCCATGAATGTGTGGAGGAAGGGAGAAGACATATCCTTTTCCATTGTTGTAGTTCTGGTGGGAAAGGGACAGACGAAAAAGCTGCTGCGACACCAATATGTCAGAATTTGGGGCAAATATGTCAACATTGTTTGACTGTAAATAGCCCTATGGAATCTAGCTTTTAGCTTTGCCGCGACGTCGATGTGATATTGTTGCAATCCCTAGAAACCCACCAAATCTTTGGATGCCAAAGGATTGATGTTATGTTACCATGATTGATCCCTACACTGTTATGTAGGGGGTGCACTCTGCAGCAACTGGTTTCATTGTTCCCTTCAGCTTCATCCTCTTTAAAGGGTCCCGAAATTTTGCATGCTAGGGTTGGTATTTAATCAAATAGAAGTTGCTTGATGTCGGTATATTTCATGAAAAATGGATGGAGCCAAGAAAGAAACTATAGGTTTTTTTTTTTCAGAACCTTTGTATTATTACCAGGCATGGACATGTGAGAACTAGAAGCCACGAGGGAGTTGTCGTACTCTTAAGCAATGTGGCCCTGAGACTTTAATGTAGGAACTATACTACATGCCAGTGAGGTACAAACATGATGTGTCGAGTACTCAATACACACAGTTCAAGAATTTGGGTCCATCTTATCTTCTGCGTTTTTTTTTTCCCACTAGCCACAAGCTTCTTCTAAATATGCTATTTGTTTTAAAATAATAATAGTTAGTACCAATTTTTGATGAATTAATTTTACCCTAATAAGAATGCTAATTACTTTAAATAACATATTGATGAAAATCAAACATTGTTTTACAAAGTTTATAAACTAATTAAATACTAAAATTAACTAATTTCAATTTGATTTGAATAATTAAAATTAAATAATTTAATTAAACTAATTAGCTAAACTAATTAAAGAAAAATAAATTGCACCTACCCTTAAAGGCCCAATGACATTAACCATTGAATATGTGCACTCCCCCCTCCCTTGGTTGGATTTCGAATCTCGTCCTATGTCAAAATGCTTAAAAAAAATTAAAGAAAAATAAATTGATTTTAAGTGACAATATGTGTTGGAATTCTAAGGCATTTGATTTTACTGTACTCAACAAACATAAAATTTAAATTAATATATTTTCAATATATTTATTATTCATGTGATAGTAGAATTTTTTGACTTATTTAATATACTTTTTTAAGTTATACTAAACATATCTATATCTATTAACCTATTATATCTTTATGTGATTTTAAATAGATATACATTATACTTTGTGAAACTCCCTAATTTACTTAAAAACTTTTAAGTCTATTAATCATTAATGATGCATGAATTACGTTGGTTTATCTCCGGTTTTGTTCAATTTACAATATATAATACTAGAAGTTAATGCATAAAATCTCCTTAGTCTTAGTTATGCTCTTTAAATCAATTTTAATGGTGGTCAATTATTAAAAAGCATTAAAAATAGTAAGTTTTGAAAGTTTAAAAATCATGAAGTTTTATATTAATTTGATTAGGCTACATCGTAGCCTTAAATAGGTAAATTAGTTTATAATGAAAGGAAAGAAAATGGAACATTTAATAGTGAATATAAGAGTACTTGACAATATAAATTTAAAATTTTATTAGAGGGAAACATTTAAAATTAGCTTTTAAGTAAATTTTAAGCAAGTTTTGAAAAAATTGCATAAAATTTTTTCAAAACTTACTTAAAATCCAATTAGAAGACAATTTTTAAATTTTTATCTGAAAAAATTTTAAACTTGTGAGAGATAAATAATATTTTTAAAACAAATGACTTCTAAGCTATGCCAAACAAACGCCCTCTACATTGTTTGATTCGTTTCAAACCTATTGTAGTTATGGGCCTGACAATTTGGGTTTGCAATAGAATCTGGCCTCGTAAAACCGAGCCCGATTTACTCGAATGGCAAAACCCTCCTTTAAACCCCTCTGGATTCGTTTCTACTTCACTTCTTGGCTGTTCTGCAGGAGCTTGAAGCCTGTAAATCTCTTTCTCTTGATTTCTGTCATTTACATGATGAAGATGAATTGGATCCCATAATTTGGAATCTGATTTTGGTTTCAGGGTCTGTAAATCCTTCAGTAAAGGAAGAAAATGCCGCTGGGACTGATATTGGGTATCGGCAGGGCGTTCCGGAGGAAGCGTACTTCATCACTCGACATTCTCTCCCCAAAAAGAGCGCCCAGGAATTACTACAAGGGGAAGAATTGCAAGCCGACTGGTTTTCACACTCGGAAAGGTTCCTTCTTTTCCACCTTCATCTAAGTGCTGGATTTGTATTTCATATGTTGATGTAGTAATTGAATATGTGTTAATATTTTGATAGTTTGTGGGAATTTGTGATTTTTATTGTGGGTTTGCGAAGCATAAAAAAATTATAGTATAATCTTGAGTTTGTGTGTATGAATGTGTGTGAATGAATCATTTTTTTATTAATGGGTGTGTTTGTGTGAGATTCTTAAGGACTTGGTTGGGAAATGTAACTTTTTTAGTATCATCATCACAGTTGGATTGATTTGATTGCAGTCTATTTGTTTGATTCTACCCTCTAGAAAAGAAGCCATGAGTTCTCTTCTCTGTTAATTTTGTTTTCTGGTGATGGACTTTGAACATTTTCCATTTATTTTCTTGATAATAATCATCTTTTCCAAGTGGTTCCTTCTGTGTTTGGTGATTTCCCCATTCAAAATTTTATGCCATACCATTTAAATTAGATGTTGAACTGTATATTGATCTTGGTTGAGCATTTCAGCTCCTCCGCATTGCTTTTTATAAAAAGACATTCTCTTTTGGAAGTCTTGGGGCTATGATATGTAATATTAGTGATGTGGATGTGTGATGTTAAAATTTAAAAAGTTTAAGCTGAAGCACGGCTTGGTGGAATATGTGGGCGAACTGGCTAAGAAAGATTAATTGTTGGATGTAGTTTCTTTGAATGATTGAAGCTTTTCATTTTGTGAGTTATGAAATGCATAATTACAAGGTTCAGTAATCCAGCACCTCACTTGCTGAAAATTACAGCTTTAACAGCTTGATGCTTTAAATACTAGACATAATAGTTGCTTGATGCTTTAATAACTAGACATAATAGTTTCCTTTTGTCAAATGGAGCCTTGAATCAAAATCTAACAAGTAACACAAGCCTGTGGATCTGTAATTTTTAGATGCTTATAATGTAGAAACATATTGCAGGTGGGTATGTTGTGGTGCAGGAGAAGTTACCAAATTATGTGGTCCCTGATTTGACAGATTTCAAGGTAATTAAGTTGAATCCTTTTTTTTAATTCTGTGTTCTGAATGAGTGTAATTGTTGTTGCCTATTTGCCCCCAAAACAGTTGGAAAAAATCTGACATAGTTTTAGGGAAATATACAATGCTTTCTGCAGCAATTATTCATCTAGAAATTTATATTTCCTGTCTAATTTCTTTTGGTAGGCAGGGTGAACTATTTGTTGGGGGCAGGATTGCTTGATTCTTGAGTCTCACTGAAGGAGGATACCATTAGTTTGTTTCTTGCTGTAATTGGTTCTAGATCCTACAGAATAGTTAAACTCACTTAATTAGCTCAAGTTTAAGCCTAGGAAGCATTGTTATTTATCTATAGATCTTGTAACCTTGAGGTTGGATAAACCAAATTAAAGGATTTGGCTCATATCAGTTGAAACTAAAAGGATTGCCAACCACACCCTTTTCTCTCTTTTCTTTTCCTTAATCATGTTATGAAGTTCATGGTGATAATTGGCTCTACTTTAATGGTCACCAAATATTGGTCATTTTCTAAACCAAGTCCCACCCTTGTCGGTATTTCACTTTATAGAGGTAGGTAGGTTGTGGATTTTTATTTAAGGATAGGGGACAGGCTTGTATCACTTATATTTATTTGTCTTAAAAAGGGACTTTGATGCCAATGTTCACGCCATCTTTTGAGTAATCCTGTTATCTCACCTTTTCCACCAGCCTCTAAGTCTAACCTGACTGCATTTTTTACCCATCTATAATAATAACTAGAAGTTCTACATTTTTTTTTTCTTTAATCATGTTAAGATCTCTTCATTAGTCCCTCCACTTTTGAGGCTAGAAAGGGGAACCGCACACTACTATCACTGCTTGCTAGATTTTTTCTTACATACTTAATGATTTCCAATTCTCATGAAGTGTCTGCTTATGGTAGCGATGTAAGTCATTTTCTTTTTGTCTTGCAGCTTAAACCATATGTCTCTCAGTGTCCAATAGTTGCTAATACGACTGAGCCTTCTGAACCAACTAAATGATCAAATGGAGCAAGAGCATGGGTTGGTTTGTTATCCATCTTTGTGTAACCCCTGATTCAAGCTCAACATGCTTTTTCTGGTTTCTAAACTATTAAAAGTTTTCCGTCGTACTATAGTAGTGTAGCTTAAGATGTACGGATGATATCACAACACATTCAGCGTATAATTGTTATGGATATGTGATAGAATATAGCTACAGAAATTGTGTTGTGTGAGCTGAAGTTCTTTTGATGAGTGTGAAACCAAATGGAGTTTTTTAATTACATATTTGGCATCACATTAAAATGGATAGAGCGAACACCTTGGCAATACAATTCTATCATATCAAGGGGTTTTTTTTAATAACAGATTAAAGGTGTATTTATTATATTTTTTATATTAATTTATGAGTTTTTTTTAAAGATATATTAAGGGTATATTTATTATATCTTTTCATCATTACTTATATAAAAAATTATAAAAATAAATTTTATTTTTAACACTAATGTCACATGAAACATTTTAATTAGAGTTTTAACTAGGTGATTGATAAAAGAAGTTAGTATTTGTTCGTCTTATTTTTAAAAAATTAGAAGGAAAAATGATAAAAAAATATTTTAATTTATGTTTTAAAAATAAAATATTTTAATATTTTTCAATAGGTATTTATTAAAATGACATAATTTTAGAATAATATTTTTCTTAATTTTTAACAGATAAAGTGAATAAACACTATTTTTTTGATAAAATTAAAATTAACTTATATTTTTTAGGGAAAATTTCTCTTTAGTGTGTCGGCTAAGATTTCCTTCTGAATTCAGTGGAGAATCCAAAATCTATTTCAACATGTGGAAATTTATTAGTCAAGTCTCTCTTTAGTTTATCAAAATTATACTTGTTTTCGCACATGACCCTTGAGGTCTAGTAGCATTAGTCATCGGTACCGCCGACAGGGTTCGAAACCCATCCCTAGCCAAATATGTTCAAAAAAAAATTGTACTTGTTTTCCATGGTCATTTTGTCAAATGACTTTTTTGCCATTCTAGACCTTTCGAAATTTCTCTGTCATCCGTTCTATCTCGCATGGCCGAGCCCATCATCAGTGTCCCACCTTGATGGGCCAAGAAGGCACCCAACCCCACCATTGGCTCCAAAAAGGTAAAGTTTGTGCTGTACTTTTTAGTTTGTTTAGATTTCGTACGATTGAATTTTATTTGAATTGTTTTGGGATAAATTTTGTGTTTATTGAATTTGTGACTATTTTTAAACTTTTTTTATTTTTGACATGAAGGTTCTAAACCATTTGAAATCTTAAAACCAAGTTACTCTTTTCTTTTCTTTTTTTATTGTTTTGCTATCTTTACATCTCTTTGTTTATTGGTTACACTAAACTTGTTCCTTTTTTTTTTTTTTCT